GTGTGTGTGTGTGTGTGTGTGTGTGCGTTGACATCGGAGCTGAGATTGCGATTGATGCTGATGACAATGCCGGTGTTGATGCCAATGTTGTCGTCGGTGTTGGTGTTGGCGTTGGTTTTGTTGTTGGGGTTCGAAGAGGGCATCAGTACGGCTTGGTTGAATCACCCTTGGGGCGCTTTAGCTGCACTTTGAGCCGCTTCATGCCGATCTGGAAGCCGTTCATCGCTTGGATGGCGTTTTGAGCGCTGGTGGGATTGTCGAAGCTGATGAATCCTGCACAAAAGTTGGAAGCGAATTGAAATGAAGCCAAACTGAACAAAGTGAAATGGTGAACATGCAAACTGGCCAAAATTGGACACGCTTTCGGCCACGAGGCAGATGCCAGCAGATTGAGACTGGCCGCCTGTCTTTGAGTTGGTTTGACGAAGCTGACCTTTCGTGCGTCATGTCGCGGACAGCATGACGCATGAACAGTCGTCACCAACGCTTGTCAAACCAACAAAAGTGGCCAGCTGACAGAGACTACTTATTGCGTATACCTCACTTTGCCAACTTAATGAGGCGTGAAGATGTTGTGCCTTCTAACATGGTCGCAGTCTCCTTTCGATGCATAAAAGTGGGTTGATCTCGTTGTCGCAACTTGGTCTTGTTGTCATGGCGACTTGATAGAACGCATCTAGTCCGAAGTCATCCAAGTCGACTTGGTACCAAGTCCACTGTCTGATGATGGAAAGCATGACAACTACAATGGCAGACGACTTCGGACTCGGTGCGTTCTACATAGTCTCCATGACCACAAAACCAAGTTGCGACAACGAGGTCAACCCACTTCTATAAGTGGAAAGGAGACTGCGACCATACCCGAGGCCACAACATCTTGGTCTTCACATCTTCAATGAGTTTAATTGTTTCGTTAGCTGGAAGCGGTCGCTTATATGACGGATGTTTTAGCCTGATTCGAGAGAGACTTGACTATGAACGGAAGCAATCTTAACAGTTTTGGACACGAGGAATTACGGCTTGAGTAGAATGGGCATCAATCGTCGTCTTCCTGTCAGATAGGCCTTGAAATCTCTTCTTCATGCACTATCATACGAAAGGAAAATCTCCCAAATAGCAATTGTAGGCTATGCGAGTCCATTACAATCGAAAACCTTACATAATTTAGGGCTAAGTATTGTTCAAAAATATCAATTCTACTTAAACAACAACTTTATAATTTTTCGACAGTATGAAGACCAAGATGGTGTCAGCTTTTGCAACTTCGCGGTCACCATTGCTTGCATAGAACTTGTTTGGTCTTGTTTTCGCAACTTGACCCCATTTGCAGAAAGACCTAGAGCAACGCAGCTTGTCCAGAGTCCACAATATGCATGGGAATGTACCAAGTGCATGTTCCGACTGTGGAAATGAGCATGCCTACTATGGACTCCGGACAATATGGCCAAGCTGCGAAAACAAGCTAATACAACTGGGTTGACCTCGTGGTCGCAACTTGGTATTGTTTTCAGGCCGAATAAGTAGAACGCATCAAGTCAGAAGTCATCCAAGTCCACTTGGTACCAAGTCCACTGTTTGATGCTGGCAATCATGACAACTACTATGGGGTTTGAGTTGGTCTGAGGAAGCTGACCTTTCGTGCGTCATGTCGCGGACAGCATGACGCATGAACAGTCGTCACCAACGCTTGTCAAACCAACAAAAGTGGCCAGATGACAGAGACTACTTATTGCGTATACCTCACTTTGCCAACTTAATGAGGCGTGAAGATGTTGTCCCTTCTAACATGGTCGCAGTCTCCTTTCGATGTATAAAAGTGGGTTGACCTCGTTCTCGCAACTTGGTCTTGTTGTCATGGCG